AAGTGGATGACGAATCTATTGGGTCAGACTAGAGTGCAGTCACGCCTCCGCCCTCGACCTTGAAAAGACCACCAGTGAAAGAGCCAGCAAATCGTCTAGAGGGTGGCTTGAAAATTCACAAAATGGTCCATGTTCCTAATAGTAACAATAAGAAGAATGGTACCCTGAGAAAGTGTCGTGTGAGTGCTAATTACAAGGTTAGAAAAGAAACAAGTATCATGTGTGCAGGCTTTGGTGTGGCTCTCTGCAAACTTTCATGTTTCAATGTTTATCACACGAAGAAAAACAAATAAAGAGGTGTGGAAAAGCATTTATTGCATAAAATATTGTATTTTAATTAGTTCCTAAAAATTTCGTTTTTAAAAACCAATTTTTGTTGAAGTTGTTTAGGAAAAAGTAACAACATGCATTTTAGCGACATAAGGTTTAAAGGGCCTGCCAGCACAGGGGTGGGATTTAAATACCCTTCGCGCCAGTCAAAGAGTTAACAAATTATCAGCTGATGAAGAAACTTGCATGGTAATGGTAAAGCTATCCCTATAACATTGAGGGTCCCACATTATCTAGACAGTCGGCTCACTGATGGCAATAGGGTTGTCAGCCTTAAGCGCTGGCTGCACTTTAGCCCCCAGGAAGATTCTGTATCCACTCTTCTCACCCTTATGTTCGGCACCACTTGTGACCGTTCCCATCTCCTTTTACGTTGTGCTCCACTCGTGACTGCCATTTTGCCTGTCTTTATGTCGGTAATTAGTTCTTTTACCTGTATCCCTTCCTTTCCCTGTGCTGCGGTTCACCTGCACCTTGTGTCTGGACACCTCTACTGGAGTTACTGCCCTCCTTCCTCTTCTCGTGGATGGCGAGAAGTTTGGCAGGAAGGGAGGAGAATTGTGGTTGCTGGTGCTGGTAGGTCAGAGTTTGTTCCTGTACTACCATTAGGTGTCTTGCAAGTAGGGAAAGAAGGGAGTAGCTGGGTTCTGCTCTGTAATGTGTAGAGATGAGTTCTTATCCCGGGGTCTTACAAGCCTAGCTCGGGCAGGGCAGGAAGATCCTTATGCTACAATCACATACACCACTTCAAGACTTTTGCACTTCAGTAACTATTTAATTCACTTCAGCTCACTGAACACAACAGAAACTCAAATAGTTACACTTATTTGGATTGAACTTTCACTTCCTCTAGCGAAGTGACGTGGTTGTGTTTTTGTGTCTGACTTGGCTGAAAGTTGAACGAAGACTCTTGAGGTAGAATACCCTCTCTCAGAATCCTGAGGTCCACGAACCACAGACTCCAAGAGAAATTCACTCCTCCAACATGTGCCATTGGTTTTGTTTGAAAACTAGGAGGTTCCGTAAATTATCATGTTGCTTTGCTGTATGATCCTGGCAGTTGCTGACATGACAGCGACTTGATGTATTAAGATCAGGGGATGAGGCTCCAGCCCTCCCACTCCTAAGTTATAACTGTTCCAAGCTGTCAGCTCTCAAATTCTCCAAGACCTTCTGACTCTGCTGAAACTGCCAGAATTCCAGGAAATGTACCAGATGTTACTTCATGTCCACATAGCAAAACTTGAACTATGTCACTTCTGAGTGTAAAAAGTTGGCTATCTGCCAGATCTCTGTATGTATTTCACGTGATCTTAACTTAATATAAATTTAATTAATGCAAAAGTGTCTGGCAAATTATGATGAACAGTTACGATTCCTGGTACTCATTTCTCTTAGATGCTGAGTTGACTCCAGGGCCATAGTGTGGCTGGAAGGATTAGGTCAATTGAAAAATCCACCTTATCAGGATGTGAACCCGTGACCTTCTGGCTTGTAGCATAGTGCCTCAACCAACTACACTACGTGCCCCCTAAACTTACGTGGTAAAGACACTAAAATGTCTGTCTGACCACAGAAACAAGGGTAAGACATTTTACCACAGATGAACATGTGTAACAAAAATAATAAGCAGATGGTAGCACTGTTTGGTAAAGGCTTGCTGTGTGCCTGGAAAGGATTGTTTCAGCAGGGAAAGAATGTGTTGATGATATATTGCAAATTGACCATGAAGCAAAATAAGCTTGATAATGTAGTGGCAAGGGTTAATATGAGCAGGTTTGTATTGATCTAGTGATGTCGATATGTGTAACTGGAAATGAGACATTGATGGCAGAGAGATAAACGAGGCTCTATAAGTTGCGTCAAAGAAGGAACCCTTGTTCTTTCAGAATGTTAATAAAGTAGCAGACATTTAGCAGTGAGGTAATTTTATGCATTTGTTGTCTAGTTTTAGTTAATTAGAACATGGTTGCCATGAAGTCAATGCCAGGATATATGGATTTAGCTTGTTTTGTAAAACTGTTCATTACATATTTTAATGATGAGATTTTATTCCATATTATGCAATATATTTTCATTGCTGTGTTGTTGCTTATATTTTCTAGATAGAAGATTGAAGTTTATGAATTGCTGAACTCAGTTTGGACTAGAAGTTGTTGATCTTTCACTTCAGAGTGGTATGCTTAAATCATTTTTATTCCCAAAGCCTTTGTATAAAAACAGTTGTGTTATGATAATGACCCTCACATTATGGAAATTTTTCAGTCCAAGTCCAAGTCACATTGCAACTGATGGTCAATCAACCAGTAAGGCTTGGTGTCAAGCCCTATCTGTGATCACTTATAACATCTGCGGACGTTTCTTCTTCACTGTTATAATGACTTGCACAGCTATCCTCGGTCCAGTGTCTTGGTCCCTGGTCTAAGAACTCTTCTTGCTTAATTCAGCTGTCTCGCTTCAATTAACTATTTGGTCAAAATCAAAGTAACATTGTGTCTGACAGTCAGTCAGTAAGTCTTGGTATGAAGCCCCATCTGGGGCTCATGACCAGATATTTATTACTCTTTGACAGTTACAGTCTTGTTTTTGAAGGGCGCCCTCTCTGACAAGAGGACGGGTCTGTCTTTTGTATATGCTGCTGGCCCTTGCCAGAGCAGTCTGGGACTCACGACCATATTTTACTGTCTCAGATCTGAGACTTGCCTTTTCATCGCAATTGCCCAGCAATAGTTTGCTGTGTTCTGCTCTGCTCTGCTCATAGCAGAGACTCTTTCAGACTTTCCCCAACTTAGCTGGTGTGCATCCAGCAAGGTACAAGTATTCAGTGTTGCTGCTTTTGGGTATTTACTCATGATAACATGACATTCAGATTTCAGTGCCCAGTATTTTTCGGAATCCAGGTACTGGGACATCTGCCATCTTGGCGATATCAGTACACTATATTCGTTGCTTCTGTTTGTACACTCAAGTTAACCACTTGTCTGGATGTTTCACACAGCACTGCACACACCCTCAGCCAGGCTGCAAACTTCACCCACATTACCTCCACCAGGTGCGAGTTGGCTGTGAACCCACTTACTTACTTTCTTACTCATGGAGCTGAGCCCTTCTTGAGGAGCTGCAAATTCTGCAGCTACTCAAGACTTACCCAGCATTTTATGGAACCTGAAGGTTCATCACCGTGTTCACAAGAGCCCTCCACTGGTCCCTATTCTGAACCAGATCTATCCAATCCTATCTCTCTATTCGTATTTCGTATTATGAGAGGGGGTGGGTTTCCCCATGCACTTAGACCAGTTATTGGTCCATTGTGCATCCCTCTTTAATTTCTACTGTCGCCATACCCTACCCATAACGGTGCGTGCCATCAGCCCCCCCGTAGAGCCAACGAGGTCGGCCCTCGGTACCTTGATGCTTCCCCCATCTGCCAGAAGCATTGGAGACTACTTGGGCAGGAAAGGGCCTGTAATTTAGCTCAGAGGTCTCCTAAAGACATGAGGTTCTTTTACGTGCCGTAAATCTACGACGCAGGACACACGGCTTAAAGTCCCTCCCAGAGGACTTGTTCCCTGAATTTTTCCGCCCTTAAAAATTCTACGACCTCCGCTGGGTTTGAACCCGCGCACCTTGAGTCATGAGGTGGTAACGTTACCCCTAGACTACGGAGGCTCCTATCTCTCTAAGATCCATTCTAATATTGTCCACCCACCTACGCCTTGGTCTTCCCTGTGGTCTCTTTCCTTCTGGTTTTCCCACCAATATCCTATATGCACTCCTCGTCTCCCCCATTCGTGCTACATGACCTGCCCACCTCATCCTCCTTGACTTGATTATTCTAATTATACTTGGAGAAGAGTACAAGTTATGAAGCTCCTCATTATGCAGTTTTGTCCAAAATCCATAAAAATAACATTGTCCACCACAAGTTTAATACAGGTTGCTAAGTCCAGTTTCTGAATCTGACAATTAAGATATGTGCTCGAGGTTCTCTCACTATCTCCACTCTGGGACTTGCTCAGTCACTGCAGAAAGTTGGTCGGTCAGATAAATTGCTGCTGGTCCTCGCCAGCACAGTCTCTTGGAGATCTGTGACCAAGATTTTGTTCTCTCCTAGACATGTCAGTGTTTTAGAAGGGTGGTCCTCCTCTGCAGCCAGAGGAGTGGTAGATATTTCTGTGTAGATGCTACATTTGTGCACTGTAGTTTCAGCAAGAGTATATCTGTGCTGTTACAGCATCCAGGGCACTGTGCACCCTGTCATTACAATTTGCTAAGTAATATTTTTACAAGGTAACAGAGGATTTATGTTGATGCATGCTGGTATAGCAGGTTATGCCTTAACTTATTTAACTACTCTGAAACTGCAGTTAGTCAGCTGAACGGTGGCAGGACTGACAGCCGCTAAGTTCAAGCCTCTCACACTCCCATCACCTGGCTTCTCCTTGTCCAATACCATGTACATTTGAATTTACATGGTTTAGGATTGCTTCTGCCTGGGTCCTACACTATTTAGTTATATAGTCATGCATGTAAGGAATTTTGAAAGCCACAGGGGCACGCAGTAGTATAGTTGGTTGAGGCACTATGCTACAAGCCGGAAGGTCGCGGGTTCAAATCTCAATGAAGTCATTGGATTTTTTTCAATTTACCTAATCCTTCTAGCCGCACTATGGCCCTGGGGTCGACTCAGCCTCTAACAGAAATGAGTACCACGAATTAATTAATTAAATTTTCCTGGGGAGTAAAGCGCAGCCGGTGCGTAAGGCTGACAACCTTACCGCCATCTTTGAGCCAATTGTCTAGATAATGTGGGACCCTTAATGTCTCACAACTGTATGGCCCTCCATGGCCTGTTACAGGGATAGCTTTACTTTTTTTACTTACATGCAAATTGTGGACTGGTGTGCACCTCTTAACGATTTCCAGTAGTGTGGCATACTCTGTTCTGCAGGCATTGTATTTTCAGAAAGTGAGTGTCTGCCACATACTCCCAGGCAGGACAGGCATGAGTCAAAACTGACCTAATCAAAGCCCTGTAAAGTGTAAGTTTAATACTTGTACATAAACGGCCAGTTTTGAATAGAGAATAGGCCAAATTATAAATCACTCCGTCCAATGTGACCGTAAGTTTTTACTACATAAAAACTTAACACCCTTACATGTTTCGGTCTCTGTGGACCATCTTCAGAGGGCAAACATCACTACAAATAGGAAACCACTATCACATAATTTGTTTACACGCAAAGTACGTACACTTATATGTTACAACACACAGTACACAGAATAGAATATTTCATAAACACAGCAGTTTCCTGGTGACTTAATGTATAAGAATTTTAATTCATTATTTATTCTGAGTTTAGTTAGTTGTTTTTGAGTTAGCTTTGCAGCATTACTTGTCCCTTTTAAACATAGGTTGGCGTACTTTGGTATGATGTTTTTGTTTTGACAGGTTCGATTGAACCATATATGCGCGTTGGTTCTTAGTAGTTTCCTTTTCGTATTGATATATTGATTTACCAGTTTAGCTTGACTAGCTTCGATGAGTTTGATTTGTTTCATTCTGGTCCGTCACAATAACAATTACAAATTATAAATCACTCCGTCCAATGTGACCGTAAGTTTTTTACTACATAAAAACTTAACACCCTTACATGTTTCGGTCTCTGTGGACCATCTTCAGAGGGCAAACATCACTACAAATAGGAAACCACTATCACATAATTTGTTTACATGCAAAGTACATACACTTATATGTTACAACACACAGTACACAGAATAGAACATTTCATAAACACAGCAGTTTCCTGGGGACTTAATGTATAAGAATTTTAATTCATTATTTATTCTGAGTTTAGTTAGTTGTTTTTGNCACCCTTACATGTTTCGGTCTCTGTGGACCATCTTCAGAGGGCAAACATCACTACAAATAGGAAACCACTATCACATAACCAACGCGCATATATGGTTCAATCGAACCTGTCAAAACAAAAATATCATACCAAAGTACACCAACCTATGTTTAAAAGGGACAAATAATGCTGCAAAGCTAACTCAGAAACAACTAACTAAACTCAGAATAAATAATGAATTAAAATTCTTATACATTAAGTCCCCAGGAAACTGCTGTGTTTATGAAATGTTCTATTCTGTGTACTGTGTGTTGTAACATATAAGTGTATGTACTTTGCATGTAAACAAATTATGTGATAGTGGTTTCCTATTTGTAGTGATGTTTGCCCTCTGAAGATGGTCCACAGAGACCGAAACATGTAAGGGTGTTAAGTTTTTATGTAGTAAAAAACTTACGGTCACATTGGACGGAGTGATTTATAATTTGTAATTGTTATTGTGACGGACCAGAATGAAACAAATCAAACTCAGAGTATAGGCCCTTACATACATGCACAAGTCCTTGGCTACGGTCCTTTTTTTATGGTGTTTCCAAGTCATCCTGTCGAAAGTGACACCAAGATGTGTTATTTTATATACAAAGGGAATATCTCATCCTTTTAATTATAGTATGTCGTCAGGGACTCTCTTCTGGAGAAATAGATCTCCTGAGATTTCCCTTTATTGATCTTTATGTTGCAGTGCTCACACCACAAATTCACTGCAGCAAGGTGTCATTGCAGTTTGCAGAGAACACAACGTTCATGGTTCTCTGTCGCATAAATACAGGTATTGTCCACAGACAGAGCAAGATGAGTTCCAGGTGCTGCAGGGGCATCATTTATTTATAGACTGTACAATATTGGGACCAGGATGGAACCCCTGCCACTGTTTTCCGTTGTGTAGAAAATTCACCTCCTACCAAGACTCTAAATCTTCTCAGCAAGAAAAGAAACAATCAACTTAATGAGACTTGTAGAAAATTCTAATTCTCACAATTTATATAGTAGGCCAGCCGTCAACCTATTATTTTTTAAATTTAAGGTAGCATGATCCACCAGCCTCGTACATTGAAGGATTGTGCTTTGGTGTGTTCAAAAGCAAAACTGACTTTCTTTTACTAATTTTCTTTTCTCTGCATGTGTTTGGATTGTTCTTAAAAACAGCTCCTTAAATAGTTTGCCTGTAGTGGAGAAGAGGCCAATCCGATGTAAGTTTAGGGGAAGTTCAGGGTATTTGCTGGTTTTTAGGAGAGTTATGATTTTTGACTTTGTCCAAGGTGCTGGGAAGTGACCAAGCTGAAGGTAGTGATTGATTAAATTTGTTAACTGCACATGAAGTCTTGTCAGAAGATGGTGGAGACATTCATTTGGAATGCCATCAAAACCACAGGCCTTTCCTAATTTCAAGGGTTCTATTTTCTTTGAGATGTCGCAGGGCCAGAAATTAACAGGGGGTGTCTACATCAATGATAGCTAGGAGAGCTGCTACTTTAACTGTGTTTACTGGCCATTCTGTAACAGTGGCCATTGCTTCTGGCTTCCAACAGTTATAGCACAGTGTTATTGTTATCATAATCAATTATAGATACTGTCACCTGTTGCCTATGTAACGTGACAAATTACTTCACGCAGGTCTCGGATTTGGCAAATATTTATTGGTCTTTCGCATTTACACACAAGTACATTTGTGATCACTAGGGACCAGATTTTTATGCCCTACTGATCCCTTAAATATGTATGCATTTATGCATGAAAAACATCCGAAATATGCACATAAAAATTTATACCAAATATTAAAATAGATTTTACATTATTGGAAGACCAACAAATCAATATTTAAGTTCATTTTATGTAATCACTGAATGATTCACTTGCAATAAAAAGCTATACTTAAATACAGTTCATGCAACAAAGCCAACATATTTCATTACAAAGTTAAAAAATCAATGGTACTCACATTTAGCTTTCTGTACTTTCAACTTCTCTTCTCTTGCAGCTCACAATTACTAAATGTTTTAGGTTTTCCATAGTTAGTTGCCTCCTATTCTCTTGTAAGATGTCTTTATAGCGGGAAAAACTTCTTTCCACCCCACAGGAACTTAGGGGCGCACGTACAAAAGCCGCTATTTGCTCCACTGTTAGTGATTTTTTACTTGGCAGTTCAGTACGTTTACTGGCTAAAATTCCCTCAATTTCACAAATTTGTTCATATCCTGGATTTTTTTTAAGACTGCTGTGTATTTTTTCCTTTACTACTTCACCAACTCTTCCAGGCACCAAATTCAATTTGGAAACAGTGGTTTTGAACACACTTAACGGCTGATACAAAGTACTATTTCTATTGCTTGCTTCCAATGAGGAAATGGCAGATGGAAGATGAGAGAAGTGTGCAGATATATAGGCAAGATTAGTTTCTAGTTCTGCGTTTTTTAGTACATCTTGGGCAATCTGAATTGATGCTGCACTTTTGGGATCAAATGTATTCACGACATTCCTAACTGTTTAAAAATGTTCCGTATAATAACTCGCTGCAAATAGCCACGTGCCCCAGAGCGTTAAAATTGGTTCTGGCAGAAGTGGAATGCTTGGTGCTACTGCTTTAAAGGCTTCTTTTCTGTATGGCGCTGTAACAAATACCTTCTTCACAAAAGACACAGACTTGTCAACAAGCAGAAAATTTGCACGAATTGTTTCTGCAACACGGTGCAACCCATGGGCAAGGCAAGTCAAACATGTCGTATTTGGAAATATAACTTAAGAGCAGTACCAGCTTTCATCATATAACTTGCGGCATCAGTCACAAAGAGCAATACATGCTCATACCGAATGCCATTCGGCCATAGTAAATTCAGGGAATTGATAACAAAGTTGGAAACTGCGGAGCTATTTATGGTTTCCAATTGCTCTACTGCAAGAAGATATGGAGTAGATTGTTCATTCTTATTAAGGGATCCAACTGTACAATTTGCAATAAACCGTCCCTCACAATGTTGTGTTTCGTCGATTGATACTCACACAAAATTATCTTGAATCTAATCTCTAATGCTTTCAATTGTTAGATCATAACACTGCTTCACATAATTTTTGCGCACAGTAGATTCATCCAGCACTTTGCACTGTGTATACTTACTTCTCTATGAAGTTTCTCAGAGTAGGATTGGTTAGTTTCCACAGTGAAATATCTGCAACTAAAAAGGCTTCGCATAAATCAAAGGAAAACTGAGAGACTAGTATTAGAAAATTCACTAAGCAATTTTTGATCAGGAGCACTTTTCGTGGATTTAATTTTAATGTTCTCTTTGTGTATATTAGTGTTCAAATGCTGAAGCACTTGGAAGCGTTTTTCACAACAAATTGTTTTCTCACATGCTTAGGAATAAAGAATTTTGTTATCCATACTTATCATCTCTCCTTCGAACTCCCGCTGATACAGCTGTAATTTAGTTTTCTGACTTACTTTCACTTTTGGCATGACTACAGAAAGCTAAACAAACTAAACTACAGACTAGTCACCACTAATGTGAATGGCCCCCAGCTTCAAATGAAAAAGCGTAACGAACCTCATAGAGACTTCGGAAATAAACAAGTGAAGTCCCTTATCGGTTGAATAGTATTACGTTGATAGCGGCTACATGTGAACGCTTCCGACTAATCTCTTCGCGGCCACTTTGATGGTACGCGGATGAGGCAAGTTATGTGTAGAGGGATCGGGGAAGTCCCATCCTGGGTATTGCATCAGAAACACGAATCATGACGAAATGCTGAGTCAAATATGCAACATATTCTAATACGGAAAAGAAAAATTGTATACACACGACCATGATCGAAAATTTGAACATAAAATTAAAAAATATATATGATAAACATTTTAAAAAGGAAATATGCAGTATAAATAAATATCTTCGAAAATATGAAGCTTATTCATAAAACAGGCAAAATATGCATTTATATGCACCATCAAACCTTGTCCAAAATTTAAGAAATGAAGTAATTCATACATATATCCAAACGAGCATACTTTTGGTTGCAAGAAAAAATATGCATTTACATTAAAATCCGGTCCCTAGTGATCACTTATAACGTCTGCGGACGTTTCTTCTTCACTGTTATAATGACTAGCACTGCTATCCTCGGTCAAGTGTCTTGGTCCCTTGTCTAAGAACTCTTCTTGCTTAATTCAACTGTCTCGCTTCAATTAACTAATTGGTCAAAGTCAAAGTCACATTGCATCTGACAGTCAGTAAGTCTTGGTGTGAAGCCCCATCTGTGGCTCATAACCAGATATTTATTACTCTTCGACAGTTACAGTCTTGTTTTTGTGGGGCGCCCTCTCTAACAAGTGGACAGGTTTGTCTACTGTATATGATGCTGGTGCTTGCCAGCAGAGTCTTTCTTGAGCCGAGTCCCTTGAGACTCGTGACCATATTTTATTGTCTCAGATCTGAGACTTCCCTTTTTGTTGCCTGCTACGATTCGTAGGGTCACAGTGAAAGTATTCGACCCTGCCTCTACACGGGTACCTAACTGGTCAAAGTCAAAGTCACGTTGCGTCTGACAGTCAATCAGCAAGTCTTGGTGTCGAGCCCCATCTGGGTCACATGACCAGATATTTATTACTTTGACAGTTACGGTCTTATTTTTGTGGGGCGCCCTCTCTGACGAGAGGACGGGGTTTTCTTTTATATATGCTGCTGGCCCTTGCCAGGTCATTGGTCAAAGTCAGAGTCAGAGTTACTTTACGACTGGCGGTTTACCGCCAATCATTTCGTCTTGGCGTGAGGCCCATGACCAGAGATTTTTATTTTCCAACTGAACTCTTGCGATAATAGTCCTTATGTAACCTCCTCATCGGTCCAAGCCCAAGTCCAAGTCACATTGCGACTGACGTTCAGTCAGTCAGTAAGTCTTGGTGTCGAGCCACTTCTGGGGCTCATGACCAGATATTTATTACTGTTGAACGTTACGGTTTTATTTTTTGTGGGGCGTCCTCTGTGACGAGAGGACGGGTCTGTCTGTTTTACGTGCTACTGGCTCTTTCCAGCGCAGTCTTTCTCGGGTCCGAGTCCCTTGGAACTCGCGACCGTATTTTACTGTCTCAGATTTGAGACTTCCCTTTTCGTCGCCACCTACGACTCGCAGGGTCACGGTGGAGGTATTCGACCCCGCCTCCACACGGGTGGAAGTCAAAGTCAGTCAGAGTCAGATTCAGAGTTACATTGCGACTGACGGTCAGTCAGTCAGTCAGTAATTTTTGGTGTCGAGCCCCATTTGGGGCTCATAACCAGATATTAATTATTATCGTTTGACAGTTACGGTCTTGTTTCTGTGTTTCACGTGTTCTATGCTTGTTACCACGGAAATGCATTATTCCCGCTGTTTCAACAATTCGTTGCCACGGCTATTCCTACGCAACGGTCTGTTTGTATTCCATTTGTCGCTGTAGGAACTCACCAGTTTCCACGTATTCGTTCTCGCGGATGTATGTGTTCCCATTGTAGCTGGAATTACTTGCTAGTTGTACACAGCTGATGCTTGAGTAAGTGCGATTAGTTTGACAGCCATATTTTTAAATCTATTTGGAAGTGAGAAAAAGAAAGTTGAAAACAATTGCCAACTTTGATTTAAAAAATTAATAGTGCCATTTCGAGAATTCAAATGCAAAGTACATAGTAAACAAATTAGAACTTATCTTAAAATTATATTTTCATGGATAAACCACAACAGATGTCAGTAAAATGAATTACAAAGCTAAGAGTAGTAGTGGGGACAGGGTTTCTTCTTGTTGCTACCAAATTGGGATGGTATCCGGGGCCTATTCAGCCTCCTGTTTGCTGCTTACTGATGATAAAAATGGGTGGAGTGTGCAGACCACTTGTTTCCATATCCAACCAACTCTGGGATGTTTGGAACTTCTCCCATGTGCCACTCCCATTGTGTGGACCTTGGTGCAAGGATAACTTGATCTCTATGTCTGCAAGAGGATAAGTGTATAAGAGCCTGGGTCGGGCTAAGGCGGCCCATACACGTACGAGTCCGGCCTGGCGAGGAGCCGGGCTCGGATTAATTTCACCAAACATGTATGAGCCTGGCGACCCATACACGGACGAGTTTGGCTCATTGCAACCCGAGCCGAGTCGGATTCGAGAGCCAGACTCGTACGTGTATGGGCCCCCTAAGAACTGGTTTGAATGCTGTTGAACGGCCGTAACTGCCCAATGGATAACACTGGGTGGTTCACAGCGCTGCTCCCTACACTGGAGTAGGTATCTGGTGGATAAGGGACTGGGGTGGTTTTCAGCGTGGACGGCGTGTTCGGCCTGAACACTGGGTGGTCACCATGTGATAGCGACTTCTAGATGTCCTGTGTATAACAAATAGGTTTGTGGGACGTAGAACTTAATATTTCACTATCACAGTACGCTGTTTTAAAACCTGAGCTAGAACACCCTTTCAAGTGGTTCAAGTGCATTCAAATTTTGGCCCAAAGGGCGTATTACGCGCAGCTCCTACGTTTCGTCCCTCAATTGGCCACACGTTATGTTTGGAGCTTGTGGAGTTGGACTAATGTACGTTACCAACCCGCTTGCATCTTGAGCATGTTAGGGAAAGATAGCGCCTTGAGCCTTGAGGACCTTGAGAGTCCGAAAATGTTAGCAGAAGCTGTAATGGCTGTAATGCTCTGCATCACAGTACATTTAATGGTCCCTAGAGGCACGTCACTGATCCATACTTGCATATGATTCACTGTATTACTTTCAGAGAGAGTATCCCCACGCTACGTAATTAATGTAATTTTATGTTCCGTTACTTTGGTAGTACTGAATTGTTTAAGTATGGGAGTATTGTATAGAGTGAGTTTCGTGTGGCTTGCAGGAAAGTGGTGTGAATGGCGAGTAGTAATTGTACGAGACTGAAGGATGATAGAGGAACTGAAATTTCAAAGTCTCCTTCACATGAACTCGGAAGCAAATTCTCCGATGATGGCACTGTTACATATTTTTGGTAAGCCTTTTGAAATATTTTTGGACCAACGATTTTATAAATCATAGGTTACGTTGCAAATATATTCAGACGTTTATTAAACACCCTGAAGCATGGAATTCAAATGAATAATGCATAAAAATCCAGTTTTCACCTCAGAAAACACTGCGCTTACCTTACGTCTAGTAGTCGTTAAGGTCGTCAATGCTGTTAGGGAAATAGTCGACGTTAAGAAGTTTGCTACGGTTTTGGACGGCAACAGCGCCCACAACCACGTGGTGTGACAAACCAAGCCTCAAATTGGAATTAATCTATGTTTATTCAGAGGGTTAAATGAGACTCATAAATGCACTCTGTTGGTAGAAAATAGTTCTTTGTAACGTGAAAGAAGGTATGTAAGACAACCACTGCACTTCAAAGGGTGAGCTAGACAAGAATGTAAGGTTACAAGGCGGTTACCAGCATTAATTCACTCCAAATATTCAATGTGAAGCCCAACATCAGTTTGTGAGGTAAAGGAGCATATCCTAAATTAATTTTCAGTATTGAGTCTTCCTTGAATAGCCCATAATTTATCATTTCATCACTTTTGGTAAATAGCTTTCCTCCTATTAGTTTAGAGGAATGTTTGATGTACAGAATATGATTTGGATTTTGCATTGTAGCTATTTTATGATCAGTTTTAACTCTTTGACTGGTGCGAAGGGTTTTTAAATCCCATCCCTGTCCTGGCAGGCCCTTTAAGCTTTAAGTCGCTAAAATGCATGTGTTTACTTTTTTCTAAATATCTTCAACAAAAATTGGTTTTTAAAAACGAAATTTTCAGGAACTAATAAAAAGACAATATTTTATGCAAGAAATGTCTTTCCATATCTTTTTATTAGTTTTTCTTCATGTGATAAACATTAAAACATGAAAGTTTGCAGAGAGCCACACCACAGCTTGCACACATGACATTTGTTTCTTTTCTAATCTTGTGCTTAGCACACACGCGACACTTTCTCATGGCACCATTCTTATTGTTACTGGGAGGAACATGAACCATTTTGTGTATTTTCAGGCCACCCTCTAGACGATTTGCTGGGTCTTTCACTGGTGGTCTTTTCAAAGTCACGGGCGGGGGCATGACTGCACTCGAGTCTGAAGTAATAGATTCCTCATCCACTTCATTGCTTGACTCTTCTCCCTTTCCACACTGTTTGTTTGGTTCTGTAATTTTTTCTACACAGTCCAATATAGAATCTTTGAATTTGTAAGTTCTCTTCTTGTATTTTTTGTTTGTTGTGTTCTTTTTGAATAGAATGAAACTATTCAACACTGCCATTTGCAACAAAAAAAACACCAGTTTCTTTGTCCACTTTACAGTTTTGCAGGAACAAGGATAATAATGCAGCGTCTGATCAGCCCTGTCAACCTCTCTCATATGTTTATTGTAGTCCCCAATTACCTCAGGTCTTCATATTTTTTCTCCTTTGCAATTCGTTTTTGCAGATTCCACGATTTTTGCTGTGTGAAGAGTGGAGATAAGTTTGACATCTCTTTTGTCTCTCCACACCTGTATGAGAACCTGCCCCTTCCTAGAAAAAACAGATTCCCCTTTTTCCAAATATTTTTCGTCATCCCTTAGTTCTTTAGGAGCTCCTCTGTCCATTCTGAAGGTTCCACACACACATAGGTATTTCTCTGTAATAACATCTCACAATTCTACACTATTGTAATAGTTATCCTGGTAGAGATGATACCCTTTATCTAGAAGGTGTGGCCCCAACAGATTGACAATTAATTCCTTTATAGGTCTCGATTTTCCGCAATAAATTTCAAAATTCCAAATATATCCACTTGTCGATTCACAAACAAGATAAGCCTTTATACCGTACTTATCAGGTATATCAGGCAGCATGTATACTCGGAAGATAAGACGTCCTTTCCAAGCGATCATTCCTTCATCTATTGCAATTTCCTTTTCAGGGATATATGTGTTTCTAAATTTCCCCACTAATGAGTCTATAATTGGCCTAACTTTAAAGAGGCGATCTTCACAGTCAGCTGGTCATGCATCGTTGTCAGCAAAATGAAGAAATTTTGAAATTGTTGGAACTACCGCAAAGACATCTTTTGTCCATACCATGGAGTGTGAAATAGGGGCCTAGTGGACCAATATTCTTCAATTTCAGGGCGTTTGTCAATTCCTGTCATGAACACAATTCCTAAGCATGTCCAGATTTCATCTGGTGTGACATATTTGTAATTGTGTTCTTGAGAGTGAGGAGCTAACCCATGTGTGTTTAAGTGCTGGTGAGCATAGCGATTGGTCTCAGTTGTGATGTGATATACTAAGTTGTCATCCAGAAAATTTTTAATCCATGAAAAGGGGTGCATTTTATGTGTTATATCAATTTTGAACCCGGAACTACTAGTAAATGGAACTGTTGTTGGTACAATGTCTGCGTACATCCATGAGATGGGCGTGTCAGGCACCGCACTCATGGTAGCTAAATGTTCATGATTACTGTCTTGTGGATCATTGTCTATCACTGTATTATTGCCACTATCAACTTCATCTAATTCAGGAATCATTATTTCATCGCCACTTTCATCATCAGCACAAATCTCGTTCGCAACACTTTCCAGCTGGTCTGTAGGAACACTCCGACACTTGCTACGAGAAGCCATGGTGATACTGAATGAATATGAAATATTTTCTGACTTTTTCCTTCTTGGAGGCTTCTGACAGTAATATAGACCCCCACAAAGTTAACAAGGGTTGAAGAAAGCAGTCTTCTGGGATTTGGCACCGTGTATATGTGCACGGTGCCTAATCCCAGAAGACTGCTTTCTTCATAGTCACCGCCATGAAAGCCTCAAATCTTACATAGTGTTCCTCTATGGGGAGGCTACTCAACGACACATTCGACGACTCGAGACGCTACGAACCAAGAAGACTAAGCTACTCTGTACCCTTCCCTTCCTTCTTAGATGCAGAGACCAAAACACCATCCCTTTTTAAAACACATATACACGGTGCCAAATCCCAGAAGACTGCTTTCTTCATAGTCACTGCTGTGAAAGCCTCAAATTTAACAAGGGTTCTTTACAACCATGCACAAAACTATCATATAGTATATGTCTTTGGTTGATGAGTGCCAAGAGAGCAAAGAAGGGAAGAGTTTATCAAAGCACTAAACACGCCAACGCCAGGGAACGGCTGGCATCATCCGGGCATTAAAACGCGCCCGCGCCAGTCAAAGAGTTAATCCAATTCTCGGTTAGGTTTCACTGTGGCTGGTTTTGATTTTGCTGGCATACTTGAAGTTAGCAGTGTCCGAACTGTACTGTGAACTTTTACCAATTCTGTACAGAAAAACTTAGGACTGACAACCAATTGTAATATGCTGCACCCACTAATTGATTCTGATAAATGTGAAGATCTGGTTAATGATCTCTTCATTGTTGTTTTGTTACTATGCTATTATGTGTTTGTTTCATTTCAGGCGTGCCCATACACTTACAGTGCTCTTTGTACTTGTGAGTGTTCTCATCTATGTGGCTGTATTTGAACCTGTCAGAGATGATACCTCATATAACACTAAGAGGTACAGAGCTTTACTTAACAGTCCTATAAAGTCCTCAATTCTAATATAATTACTAATTAAGAGTACATCAGAACCATTTGAAGTTGATTCAGATCCAATAACTTAGAATCTGTTTATGCAAAGACCAGCACCCAATTGTTAATAAGAATCTGAAATAAGTTCTTAATTCACCCAGAAAATCTAAATGTTTTTCAGAATGTTCAGAATTTCTTGGATTATAATTTCCACTTTTATGTTTTTGCTTGAAATCTCACCAAATTGCTCTTTAAACTTCTGGATACATACTGGTAAGAAATTTCCCCATATTTATTATCTGGAAAGAGCCAGTTAGTTAGAATAGTTAACCATCACACCTGTGTGTTCACACCACAGATTATTATGTATGAAGAGAGACTGAATGAATAATAAACATGTATTTGGTGATAATTCATGTACATACATCACTACCTCCAACATTTACACTCCCATTCCTGTACAACCATGTCCAAAGGACTTCTTGCAGATGACTGCTGGCTCAGAGGTAAGTATCCTGGGTAAAGAGGGCTCAGTTGTGGAGAGAGGTAGTCCCCCATACAAGCATTGCATAAGTATTTATGCTGGATATTAATAGAGATACAGAATTACTGGGTTTTTTCACTTTTTCCATTGTCCAGAATTCTAGGTAATAGAGGACACAACGTTTCAGAAACTGGATCTATTTCCATCTTAAGGTGAGAAGACAGAAACAGATCCAGTTTCCGAAATGTCATGTCCTCTGTTACCTAGAATATTGGATAATGGAAAAAGTCCAAAAACCCACTAATTCTATGTGCCATCCACCATCGTCAGAACCCTTTAGAATTAATAGAGATATTTCTTTATTATTTCAGAGGTCTTGTGGCTAGTGTGTTGGCTTTCATCCTCTTAGGAGTGACAGTTACACCTGATGGAGTATTCAAGCGACCACATCCCGTAGTGTGGAGGTTTGCTTTCTGTTGCAGTATTGTATATGAACTAGCACTTATATTCACTCTTTTCCAGGTAATTGCTATTTCATTCCTTCTCTAATTTTCTACTGATTCATAGATCAGATCGGTTCTGACAACCTTTTATGGATTCATTGCATGAAAGGCATAAAATGAATGTATATTTGGGAGATTATGGCTGCAAGTTTATCTCCATACACAGATTTCAATGGTTGTAAGCTGTGTTGACTTTGCAGATAGTAATGTGACCTTCATTTTCAGACTAAAACTGATGCAATTCATTTGCTAAAACATATTGATTCCAAACTTGGGGTTCCACTAGAAGAGAAAAGTTATGGTGGAAACTGCCTTATTTATGATAAAGATGTACCTGAGGATCCATTCCATAATGTCTGGGTAAGATTATGTTAGTTTCTTTAAGACCTGTAGTCACCGTCATCGTCATCATATATGTAATTTATTTATAAGTTCATTTGTACATGACTCTTACCTTGCCATTAGAACACATTCTATTCATGTACAAGGGTAAGATGGGTTTAAAATGTTTGACACAGTCAAGTTATAAAAGTGTTCTGAATTGTAATAAACACTAGAAATTGGTCCTACTTGTTTATTGGAAATGTGCCTTTGACACAGAAGCCAAGCACATGTAGGAAGAAGAAAATAGGTTTTATGTTTGGTTCATTTTGAAATACGTTATATTTGTAGATGTAACCACAAACCAGATCTTTTTCTAGAGTTCTTAGAATTGCTCTGTACTAGTTGGAAACCATATAATAAAATATTTCATAATCACAAGAGTAATAGTATTGTTGGGCAAAAAGTATAAATTACAAGTGTTCGTAAACAATATATCAAAGAGAGTATCTGGACAAAAGGGAATGACTAATGTGAGTAATTTTAGGTGTTTCATAACAATAAATCCTGTTGTCTTGTTGGTGTTACGAAGTCAAGGCTTTTGAAATGGGCTGGGCACTTATATGTACAGATTTTTGGAAGGGTGAGTAGTTATTTATTTGTTTAGTTTATTTAACAATGCTATCAGTAACTCGTATTTGATTACATTGAATGGCTGGATGATGGCAAATAATGAACTGAAAAGGATGTGGAAAAAGAAATGGACATGGTCTAATCTAAGGTACTTCCTTGGCACTGGAAAATATTTCTCCTCGAAGACTGAGAAGGGGATGAATCTTAGGGAAATAGGTTATGAGGTTAAGGGTTTATTTGGATCGTTCAAAAATGATTGACACTTTCCACAACTCCGGAAAAGTAGCAGTGTCAAGTGTGAGCCGATGTATGTGAGAAGACACACTGTAGTGCCACCTATGGCCATGAGATGACATTGCTGCTGCACACAGGTCGAACAGTGCTGCGTCATTCATGGCGGTGTGCAGGTGTGGTCGTGGACAACACTCAGACAACATACATGGAAGCAGACAATCATGGGCAATGGTGGACTGTGTGGTTTCTCTGGAGGGAAGGAGTGACTGCTTCACACGTTCATACAAGGTTAGCAGCCGTATGTGGGGAAGCAGCACCAAGTCGCAGAACCGTGTTTCGCTGGATAGCAGAGTTCAAAGACGGCAAGGACTGTGCGGAAAGAGGCAAAGGTAGTGGGCATCCAGCAACAGCATGCACACTGGACAGTACCCAGAGTGTGTCCGACTTGATACTGGAGAACAGGCACATCACTTTTGATGAACTAGAGAGCACAACAGGTTTGTCACGTGGAACACTGCACACCATCATCCATCAGGACTTGAAGATGAAAGAAGTTTGTGCTCAATGGGTGCCCCATTCTCTCACCATTGTGCAGAAGCAGGAGCATGTGGAGACAAGCCAACAGTTGCTGCAGCTGTATAGCACGGATCCAGTGGAGTTCTTTGAGCGTCTAGTCACTGTCGACAAGTCATGGTTCTGGCACAAGACTCCAGAATAGAAATGCCAGTCCATGGAGTGGAGGCACGCTGGGAGTCACAACTGGGACTATTCATCCGGAAGCAAATGGCGACTGTGTTCTGGGATCAGTAGGGGATCCTTCTGCTGGATTGGCTGCCCCCAATACGACCATCGACAGTTACTGCAATTCACTGCACCAACTCCAACGCATTCAGCAATGCTGCCACGGAAAATAGGGGTGCAGCGTTCTTCTCCAACATGACAATGTGTGGCCACATGGCAGTAGGCAGACCATTGCCACCCTGTATGCTCTAGATTACACGGTTCTGCCTCATCTGCCATACTCGCTTGATCTTGCCCCTTGCAACTATGCTGTATTCCAGGGGTCTCCAAACTTTTCGAACCACGGGTCACTTTAGGTAATTCAGCACTTTCAACGGGCCGGATAAAATGAGAAATTAATAACTCTAGGTATATGAGTGTTATTGAAAGCACAGAATTTCATAAACTAAATACAAAGTACGTGAGAATAAATTATTGTTTATTAATGACAACAGACAGTAGCAGCAAATGCTCATATTTTCATCACAAATTATGATAAAACAATTAATGTGAATGATGGAACTCTTTTTGCATTCTTAAAATCTGATTAAATTGAGGTTCAAATTTTGAAACGCTAATCACAAGTACCAACTTTAAATGTTCATCGGATAAATTNTAATTTCCATTTGAATTTGACTTGGGACATCTGCAGCATCACAGTCAAATGGATTTTGAAACAATCTAATTTCCTGAGCACTGGAATCCAAATCAGCAAATCGCTTCCGAAATTGTTCTTTCAAATCTAAAATGACTAAATTTGCAAATGAGGAAGGAAATTCTGCTTCACCATTTTTATGCAACTCTGCACAGTATAGCATATGAACAAAGTTACAATTTTTCACTTGGCTTTCCAGAAGTATGAACTTTGCTCTGAATGCCTTGATAAGTGCAAATAAATCACAGACTAAGTTATTTTCACCCTGCAACTTTAAATTCAAATGGTTCATATGGTTCACCAGATCAGCAAAAAACGCTAATTTCCAAAGCCACTCAGAATCTGATAAAAGTGGTTCATGATGGTTTTTTCTTGGTAAGAAATATATCACTTTCATTCCTGAGCTGAAAGAAGCGCAAAAGAACCTTTCCACAGCTAAGCCATCGAACTGTAGTATAATATGTGAGGTCAGTAAGCTCGGAATCACATTTACCAGTACTCACTGGAAAATTGGCGCATTTCTGCACAGTTCTTTTGCGGGCCGGATAAAATCACATCGAGGGCCGTAGTTTGGAGACCCTTGCTCTGTTCGATGGAATGAAAGGTGTCATGCAGGGTAAGACGTTCATCTCCGACGAGCTTCAGGCAGTTGTCCAGCAGTGGTGCCGGGATACCCCCCAAAGAATGGTTTGCTGTGCACATATGGAAACTGCCAGAATGATGGCAAAGGTGCATAGACATTGGCGGGGAATACCTCTAATACAGGGAGATCAAGAAGTCGCACACATCGCACTAAGCAATTATATTTTGCTGGTTTAATGCACAAACTACAAGACATAAAGCACTTATTATTAATGTTTGTAACCTTACATCTTAGAATTTGATCTGTTTCATTCTGGTCCATCACACTAACAATTACAAAGACAAAACAAGTTTTAAAAACTTTAATACCAGGAAAGCTGCTGTGATTGTGAAAAATTGGATTTTGTGTATATTGTGTATTCCAGGCATTGCGTGTATATGTAATTTAGCACTCACAACACCTATTGTGATAGTGGTTTCCAAATAAGTATTGATGTTCCCTCTGAAGATGATCCGTAAGGATCAAAACATGTAAGGGTGCTAAGTTTTCAAGCAGTAAAACTTAAATAGTTACACTGGACAGAGTTGTTTTGTCTTTGTTACATCTTAGAAATGCAAAATAAAATCATGTCTTTACAACATATGCTCGAAATGGCTTCCCTGTTCAGCAATGCATGCACAAGCTCTGTTTACCATGTTTGAGGCTACTTTGTGGAACACCTGTAAACTGATTATGTTAATCACCATTGTAATGTTCCTCTTGAGGTCATCCAGTGTATGCGGATTGTTTTTGTAGACAATTCCTTTGCCATACCCCCAAAAGAAAAAATCTGCAGGTGACAAATCAGGTGAACGTAGGGGCCATAGTGCTTTTGAAATGATATGGTCACTGAAAAACTCGTGCAAGAACTGCATGGTTTCATTAGATTTGTGACATGTGGCACTGTCTTGCTGCAACCAACACTCATGCTCATCAACTGCAAGAAGCACAATAAGCTGTGTAATGATGTCTTGGTACACTGGACTGTTCACTGTTGTGTCAAAGAAAATTGGGCCCACCACTTGATGACATGATACAGCACACCACACTCGAATTTTCTGACAGTGCAAGGGCTTTTCATGTAACATGTGGATTTTCATATGACCAAATCCTGTTGATTTGACTGTTCACATAGCCGCTAAGGTGAAACCACACTTCATCAGTGAAGAAAACCCAATCAAACTCTTCAGTTCCATGGTTGCCAACCAATGTCCGAAACCACTGAGCATTTTTCTTTATCCAGGTCCTTCAATTCCTGCACACAGCAAACATGATATGCATGAAGGTGTAACTTCTTTGTCACTTTCTGAGCACTTCCATATGAAATCCCTGATTGTGCCGTTAGTGTCCTCAGACTTCTTGAAGGGGAACACTGCAACATTTTCTCCACGTCAGCGAGTTCAGCCTCAGTGAAAATGGCCTGTCTCCCGAATCTCTTCCTATCTGAAACTGATCCGCATTCCTGAAATCGGTTGATTATTCTCATTATCGTCAAATTGTTTGGAACTGCAGAATCCAGATATTCCCGACGAAACTTGTCTGCAATGTGTGCATAAGAACGACTGGCGAAATAATGTTCCACAATGAAAACTCATTCTTGGGAAAAGACATGTCTGTCACTCAATAAACAAAGCTATACTGCAGATGTTGTATGACTGATACCCGCGAGATGACGTTTCTGCTCGTTATTAGTACTCCTACAGTACTATTTAGTGGTAGGAGATATAATTATATTAACTGCAATACAATTTATAACAACTGTTAGTTTGATATGCATGACTTTTCGATCTCCCTGTATAGTCTGTATGTATGTTGTTCCAACAAATGGTTACTGTGAAGAAAAAACATTTAGTGTCAATCATGTTTGAATGTCCCTAGTATTAGAACTTGCTGAGGATCATGATCATCGGAGTGTTTCGATTTTAATGAATTTGAAGCTTTGGATTGTGCTACTAGAGATTATTCAATGATGCTATTGTGCCAGGTGAGAGGGGAAGATGTTGAGAAATGGTGAACATGTATGGTTTGGAAAGATGTGATTGTGGCCTTTTTCAATGAGCTGTCCAAGAATATACCTGGAGAGACTGAGGAAACCGAGGAAAAATGTCAGAACCACCACTAACATTTCCAGATATATCCTGAATACAAGTCTATAGCTGCACTGACCTGCTGATTCTGTACCATTGTGAATTATGCAGTACCTCACATCTACATTGCAGGATAAATTTGACGTGTTTGTGCCAACCCATTTCTTTGGTTGGTGGCTAAAAACTCTTGTCCTGAGAGACTGGTGGCTGAGCGTTGTGATGTCTGTGATGTTTGAGATCCTGGAGTACACACTGGAACATCAGCTGCCTAACTTCAGTGAGTGCTGGTGGGATCATGTGAGTAAGATGCATCCTGTTAGAGTTGGTATCAGAATTTATTTTCTGCAACACGTTTTGGCCTACTCAGCCATTATTGTCAGCAACAATCTCACTAGTGTGGAAGGCACAGCAGTTCCCCCAAATTTCAACACATCTGATGATGGCCGAGTAGGCTGAAATGTGTAGTACAGTGGCAGATTTTTAAAGGATTGAATTTTAAGTCTTGATATTATTGCATGGTGGACAGTAAACAACTGAAAATGAATTATAATACATTTGTAATTGGGGATTTGATTGCTTAGTCAGTATAGTCACTGGTTGTATGCTGGGTCACTGGGGTTTAATTCCCAGCAGGGGAAGAAATTTCATTCTTTGCTCCCATATCAAGATTAACTCTGAGGCCCACCCAGACTGCTATCCAGTGGATACCTACAGCTTTTTCCTAAAGAGTAAAAGTGGCCAGAGCATAGTCTGTATGCTTTTCTATTGGGGAGAGGAATTGACTTGGGCTTGAACCTATGCATGTAACAGCAAAGTTAACAAATTCATCAGTCTGCCTCTCCAAGCCTACTGTGGTCTGTATTTACTGTTATTCTCTTTGACTTGCTGCTTCTGAAAAATTATGAGATAGATGGACTGATGTTTGGCTGTTATATACGTGGATATTGTTACAAACTGGCTTCCCAGTTTAGATAGGCAGACATTGGGAGTGTGAATTTGTTAATTGAGGTGTGTGTTTTGGAATCCTTATCTGTTCCTTTATTTTCTTACTGTAGTTTTTGTTTTATGCTGTTTACTCTCTTTAGTATCAAATTGTGATTTGATGCCACTATTTCTGTTTTCAAAGTGGATAATGGATGCAGCGATATGCAATGGTCTTGGCATTTATCTCGGACTTAAAACACTCAAGTATTTCTCTATGAGGACATATCATTGGCGAGGGCTTTGGAGGATACCGACATACAGGTAAGGTGTACAGTGATAATTATTGTAGCATGTAAGTGACATTAATCTCTTAGAAGATAAGGAGGATGGTTATTAAATAAGTAGTATACATTCATGGCTCATGTTCCTGAAATTCCATAAATTTGTGTGGCTGCCATGTTGGTGTTACTGATGGTAGGAAATCAGAAAGTATACAGTTGGAGTATTCTCTAGCAATCTGATGTTTTGTAAAAAAATTTTGTAAAAATCTGTCCTCTTCCTCAAAGGCTTTCATGATGGACAGAAACGGTTCAACTTGATGACATATGTCTGGCTGTCGGACACTAAAATCTGTTTACTTTCAGGATGATTGAGGTTAGTTTTTATCTTTGTATGTCAATGAGAATCCTAAATCATTCAAGAATCATTCTGCATTTTTAGGGGGAAATTAAAGAGGTTGATAGCTCAGTTTGGCCCATATTCATGGGTTGACTATGACTGGAGATCTACTTCTAGTCTGGGCCGTTGGGTCGCAACACTAGGCATTACATTTGTGGTGAGTGCAAAGTAGAAGTTATTATACAAGCCCTCTTCTGTAAATTAGACATTTGTGAAGCCCAAATTTTTTAAATTAAATGAAAAAAAAATTCATTATGTGTTCTGACATTGATTTTTCAGTCTTGAAATTTGAGTTTAATGTTGTAAAATAGTGTTACAGACCGAGAGCTGAATGAAATCAGCATTATGACTTTCATTATAGACTTCATATCAGATTTCATCAAAATCAGACAGTTGGTTCTTCACAATATGTATGCTTTATGCACTTTGTACAAAGGATCAATAAAAATATTTTTCCCTCTCATATCTCATGGCTGCTAAGTAAGTTATTTCGTCCTCTTGCATTTCACAGTTTCTGTTGGCTGAACTCAATACATTCTATTTGAAGTTTGTGCTGTTAGTGCCACCAGAGCATTACCTTAATCTGGTGCGTTTGTTCCTTTTCCTGTTTTGGGGTGCTGTCTCAATGAGAGAAGTGTATCAGTACCTGGATGATCCGTAAGTGTAATTTATTATTATCATCTGATCATTCAATGCTATATAGTGTGAATTACTCAAAACAGCATTAAATAAACTACAAAACAAAGCAACAGACGTAGTGGATTGTCTTATGGCAGAAGTTTCTTTATTTCATGTCATTAATTAAACTTTGTGTCACATCATCATCAAATGTGCTGATGATATTAAAATAGATCTTAGGTAGATAGATTCTCGATTGAACTGGCATAAGATAGGATTCATTGGTGGGCTTTTGTGATCATAGAGATGAATCTCAAGGTTCTACAGAAGCATAAACTTTCTCAACATGTCGAGTAACTATAAACTTTTCAAGAAGTACTCTGTATCATGGAGTTAGTAAATCTGTTTCTATACTGAGGGTAACCTGTAACCATCTGTTTTCATTTCAAGTTGTTATCTTTCATTTGTTTCAGAGACTGTACCAAGATAGGTCGGCAGTCATGGATGACATTAGCAATAATTTCAACAGAGTTCCTTATAGTTGCTAAATTTGATTGGGAGACAATAACAAAGCCCTTTCCCAGGTCAGTTCATTAATATGATTCATCATACTCTTCTGTATATAGGACACACATGAAGTGTAAATGTTGCAACTGCCATAATTATGGCAGTTTGCTGAAGCTCTTTTTGCCACATTTGGATGATGACACTGTTGTAATAGCCATGTTCTGTAACATTTCAGAGATCTTAGTTTGTTCCCCCCCCCCTTCAAAGTAGATTGCTGTAAGCACACACACACACACACACTCTCTCTCTCTCTCTTTCTCACTCACTCATGTCTCCACCTTTAAGGCAAAATCCTCTCTGCTTAAAAGTGGGAGACAGCTAAGATCTCCAAAACGTATTGTCGCGTATCGGGGGTATAACGCGACAAATAAGTTCACGCTGTATTTGATGTAGCGAATTTTATTTCACATTCGCACTTACAATCATCCAAATTACAGATTTACGGTTACTGCTATCTGCAGTATCACAATTAGTACACTCCAAATGCCACAATACAACAGACTAGTTGCTGGCTAACTCGGAACTAGCTCGGAGGTAGCTCGAGGACTGACTCGTAGGTAGCTCCACGACTAACTGACTGACTCAGTACAACTGACTGTGAATAGCCTTCGCTGCTCCTTATGTAGCCTTGCTCGGACAATACGGAAAACGGCCACGTAATAGGCACCCTTGTTGCCTGGCGCTGTGTTGCTAGTAACGCTAGCGGTAGTAACCGCTGTTACTACCGTAACAATCCTGTTGCGTCACCGTTACGTTACCGTGCGGAGGAGGGGGAGGGGAGCGCTGACTCACCCGCCGCGTCACTGCTGGTGGGGGGGTTCTT